TTTTAATATACCTATTGTGGCTCCGCCCTACCCCCAGGGGTCATGATTTGAACAATTTAGAATCTACACTACTTCAGGATGCTTCCAAATATGTCTCAGCTTTATTGGTCCAGTGGTTCTTGAAAAGAAGATTTTTAAAGATTTTTCTTATATATTTCAATGTAAAACTTGGATTCCCTATTGTGGCCCGCCCTACCCCTGGGGGTCAAGATTTGAACAATTTAGAATCTACACTACCCCAGGATGCTTCCATATAAGTTTCAGCTTTTCTGGCTCAGTGGTTCTTGAGAAGAAGATTTTTAAAGATTTTTTTTATGTATTTCAATGTAAAACTTGGATTCCCTATTGTGGCCCCGCCCTACCCCCGGGGGTCATGATTTTAACAATTTAGATTCTACACTACCCCAGGATGCTTCAATTTAAGTTTCAGCTTTTCTGGCCCAGTGGTTCTTGAGAAGAAGATTTTTAAAGATTTTTCTTATGTATTTCAATGTAAAACTTGGATTCCCTATTGTGGCCCCGCCTACCCCCGGGGGTCAAGATTTTAACAATTTCGAATCTACACTACCCCAGGATGCTTCAATATAAGTTTCAGCTTTTCTGGCTCAGTGGTTCTTGAGAAGAAGATTTTTAAAGATTTTTCTTATGTATTTCAATGTAAAACTTGGATTCCCTATTGTGGCCCCGCCCTACCCCCGGGGGTCATGATTTTAACAATTTAGAATCTACACTACCCCAGGATGCTTCGACATAAGTTTCAGCTTTTCTGGCTCAGTGGTTCTTGAGAAGAAGATTTTTAAAGATTTTTCTTATGTATTTCAATGTAAAACTTGGATTCCCTATTGTGGCCCGCCCTACCCCCGGGGGTCAAGATTTGAACAATTTAGAATCTACACTACCCCAGGATGCTTCAATTTAAGTTTCAGCTTTTCTGGCTCAGTGGTTCTTGAGAAGAAGATTTTTAAAGATTTTTCTTATGTATTTCAATGTAAAACTTGGATTCCCTATTGTGGCCCCGCCCTACCCCCGGGGGTCAAGATTTTAACAATTTCGAATCTACACTACCCCAGGATGCTTCCGTATAAGTTTCAGCTTTTCTGGCTCAGTGGTTCTTGAGAAGAAGATTTTTAAAGATTTTTCCTATATATTTCAATGTAAAACTTGGATTCCCTATTGTGGCCCCGCCCTACCCCCGGGGGTCATGATTTTAACAATTTAGAATCTACACTACCCCAGGATGCTTCGACATAAGTTTCAGCTTTTCTGGCTCAGTGGTTCTTGAGAAGAAGATTTTTAAAGATTTTTCTTATGTATTTCAATGTAAAACTTGGATTCCCTATTGTGGCCCCGCCCTACCCCCGGGGGTCATGATTTAAACAATTTAGAATCTACACTATCCCAGGATGCTTCCACATAAGTTTCAGCTTTTCTGGCCCAGTGGTTCTTGAGAAGAAGATTTTTTAATGACCCCACCCTATTTTTGTCTTTTCTTGATTATCTCCCCTTGTAAGGGGACTTGGCCCTTTATTTTAAGAATTTATACTTCTCTTTACCCAAGGATACTTTGTACCAAGTTTGGTTAAAATTGGCCCAGTGGTTCTTGAGAAGAAGTTGAATATGTGAAAAGTTTACAGACGGACGGACAGACGGACAGAGAGACGGACAGACGGACGGACGACGGACAACGGGTGATCAGAAAAGCTCACTTGAGCTTTCAGCTCAGGTGAGCTAATAATGATGATCTTCGAAGAAATAACATGAGTACATTTACATTACTTTGTGAATTCGGCGACATTTCTTTGATTATTTATTTTTTTTGTGTGTGTGATTATTTTCAATTAATCAATTGCTGATTTTCAGAACTTCCTATTTATTTCTAGATAAGGATAAATGCCCAGTCTAACTAAGGGTTTGAAAGAGGAAATGAATGTAGAAGAAATAAAATAAAACAAAATATAAGATATAAATATACAATGTACTTTTCAAACCGGAAAATATTAACATGCACTCAACCAACTCAGCTATTACAAATAGGAAGTATTAAAATGTGCAAAGTCGTAGAGGATCAGAGCATGTAAACAGCACAGGAATCTGTTCCGAGCAAATGCAAGTCAAATGGATGGCATATCCGTGGTCCAAATGTCCCCTCTATGTGAATTCAGACAGGATTCCGTTTATCTTCTCTCCATCCATGGCCGTATGATATTGGTATACTGTTGCTGTTTATTTATTTACATTCAAAAAAATTGTTACAAGTCTTGTATACTCACTTTAAACGAAAAATAATTAAAAACTGTTCTCTGTAAACACTTAAACTTGTTTTGCCACACATGATCAACGAATTGGATGAAACTGTGTCCATTTTTACAACCTAACACCAGAAACATACATCCAATAAAATTTGGTTGCTATGTGTCTGGTTGCCATGGTAACAGTCGGATAAATTTGAAAAAAAAATGAGATATTCAGCAACTTTGAATCTTATTGAGCCTTGATAAAGGCTAAGAAAATCAAACAAACCATTCTCACAAAAGCATAACACCTTGTTGCCACTTATGCTATAAAGAAACTATTTAGAATATATCTTTAAGTAAGTGGTAACCATGGGTACATTTGAAATACATTTAAAATGCTGAAAAACGCTTAATATTCATAATTGATTGATGTTTATAATAATAAAGTCAATAAACAACACAAGGAAAACAATAAAATTATTTGATCTTAAGTAATTAGGTGTTAGCAATATTATTCTAAAAACTTTAATGATTGCCGTGTTAACACAGTGTATCCATGCAAATTCTGTTGCTAAGTTTTGGTTAATTCTGCTTTCTTGAGGAAAAACATGGAAATTCAAGACTGGCAAATATACATCGTTAGGACCTTGTAAGACTGTTAACATAAGAAAAATTGGGATTAATTGCTACTTTTTCAGCAAACGTTAACTATTGGTCTCTTAGTATGTTCAAAAATGCCATCTTCAAACTTTAGGGTATATTGCCATGGAAACCATGACACATTGCAAACAGTATTTGACTGATTTGACTGTCATGAAAAACTTTCATCATAGAGAATTTGGAGAAAATTCTGTGTATCTGTACCACAGCTCCTATATAAAAGTTCAAGTCATTACAGAGAATGGCTCTTAATTAGTACACGCCACTAGTAGAAAAAAATGAATACTGAAGTCAACGAGATTAATAAATGTTTCTCATACAAACACATTTCACATTTCATGGCTCCAGAAAAAAGGCCTGATCTCTGAGAATCATGAAGCATTTTGTTAGATCCCTGTTTGATAAGTTTCCTTCTTTATCTCATACGTCTAGTTGATATAAAGGAACGCATCATTCAACGGGTAATGTTTTAACCAACACTTCCTGGTGATGTATTAACCAAACCAACACTTCCTGATGATGTTTTAACCAACCTTTCCTGTCAAAAATTCTTTGATACAGTTCTTCACTTCAATTTTAAAGTAATGAATAGTTTTTATGTGTTTGTCATAGGCAAAGTCACCGGAAGGGGGGGGGGGGTATCTTCTGAATTAAAAGTAGGAGTAAGAAACATCTTTGTAACCCACTCGTCCCCTCTCAATTTGTGGTCAAATTTGTAATATCCAGTAGTAACTAGTACATGTAACTGGATTACTCTCGAAGTCTAGACTCTCCACTTTTGCTGTCGCCAAACTGAGGGCCACATCCACTCAACTGAGCTCAACCCCTACACCCACCCCAACCTCCTCCCCAAACACCTTCAAGTTTGCCACTGCATCTTTGATTTCTTATTTTATAAATTAAAGGTTAAACAAAGGATATAAATAAATATGGATGTTTTAAATTCCTTAGTGAAATGTCACCTGTTGTCGATATGAATATGTTACCACCCCCCCCCCCCCGTCCCCTTCAACAAGCCCCAGAAAAATCTCGACCAATGTCGCTATGAGTGAATTAGATAATTTCTAAACAGAGGGATTTCTTTTGTACTGTATGTTGATATACTTGCAATGCAAAATATGCAGTCAAGTTGATAAATTGTTTCAAAATTAAATAAAGACTAGGAAATGTCAGGAAAAAAGCCTTAAATACTTTATACTTGTGAACACAACTTGTGGCATGACACAGTGCATTATCTAATGCTTCAATATACGACAAGAAGAGAACTGGATTGTAGTTGGTCCCCTGCAAAACTCAGATACAAAATATTTTTCTATTTTTTGTAAAACACTTAAAGAACATCCTCTTTCGTCCTTCCCTTTGCTGATATGTTTGTTGTCTTTTTATTGTGCTTTAACCATATTTGTAATATATGGCACTTTTACTTTAAAAAATTCATACTAGAAAAGAAATGACAATATTAATGACACATAAGCAAGACAAAATATATATAAAATATATTTAACATTTAGACTTATACACATTATTACATTGTAAGGATTTCCAAAGCTTTAGTAAGTTCTAGACTTCTCTAGTAATACCAAATTGGAATTTCCTCCTGGAATAATCAACATGTTCATTTAATCTCTTCCTCCAAATTGTTCATGTTTTGCAGCATTACTCAAATATAGTTTTATCTAATTGCCGGTCCCAATCATTCGATAAAATTTTGTCCGGGTGGAAAACACATTTTTGTATAATTCTATATTTGGACAGTATATATATATATATATATATATATATATATATATATATATATATATATATATATATATATATATATATATATATATATATATATATATATATATATATATAGATAGATAGATAGATAGATAGATAGATAGATTCCAGGGAAAATAAACGTGTGTGTCTCTGTATTAATTTTATGGCAAATAGTTGCAGATGTCATTTGGTCTATAAAATTGAACTTCCAACAGATGTAACTCAAAACATATCTTCCTTATAGAGCACGACAAGGAAATTATGAAATGATGATGTATTGTGACTCAGTCATAAAGAGCTGTCGTACAGAGATGGATTTTAATTAATTTTCAACAGTTTGACTAAATGGAACGTGATATTAATCAATATTTTCCACCTGACAGTATCTTTAACGATGACAGTGAACTTTCTGATTTACCAGATGACAGTGGTTCTTCATTCCGATCAAGCGCAGAGGAAAAGGACGTGTATATTCCACGAGGAAATATATCAACACAAGTCACCAAACTGAATATAAGCAAGTATTTTTCTCAGAACAGTATTTTTTTATCAGACGATGAGGATGACAGTTTGGAAACAGAGCCTGTAACCAAACGGTTGACACCGAAATCTCCCCGGAGAAATGTCAATTTGCAAGACCTTCAGGATTTCCACGTATCGAAATACTCTGAACAAAAGGAAGATCCTAAGTCTCCAGCGAAAACTGTATTCAGCACTGAACTAGAAGTACCCAAAATACCAACAATAAAGATAGAAAAAACTGAAAATGATTTCCTGGATCAAGATTTATATGATACCCCGCCACCACCTCTCCCAAACAAGAAAAGACGTACACTGGATGTCTCGGGAGATGAGGGGGCGATGTACAGACAATCAGAAGGTGGTCAATATACAAGAAGGGGAAGCTGTCCAGGTTTTATTGGGACGTGGGAAAGAGATTCCCTGCTACACGAGAAGTACGATAATCTTCTGGCCAATGAGGGTTTAGGGTATTCAGAATATGAGGTTATATCAAATAACTTTTTTTGTAAAAGCAAAACACGAAAAAAGACATTAAAAGAGATGCTGTTGTCGGTATTTCCCAATCGTATATACCTTTCAACCAGTGATCCAGAAATTGACAACACAAAAGCACAATATAAGAGAGATTCAACTTTATCTCACACATCGAAATTACATGGCAAAAGATTGCATCATTGGACTGTGAAGGATAAAATTTGCTCTAAATACAGAGAAATTCGGTCAGCAGTTTGTGCAAAAGATGGACGAAGTAGTGGAAATCTCTTGGAATTGGAGTCTACATTTTGTGTTCCCGCGGGCTGCTCTAACGTGTCCTCGATAATACCATATGATTCTGGACAATGCTGGGTAGCGGCGGAGGCATCAGAAAGCATACTCTTGTATGACAGAAATGGAGACTTGATGGACTTCGTTAATGTTGGCTGTCCAGTGGACTCCCTAGCCACTGACAAAGATGGGAATGTATTCATGTCATGCCCGGATTTGAAACAAGTTCGAATGTTTGATCGTCACCGACACGTAAGTAAACTAGCATCTGTTTTCTTGTTAGAGAGAGAGAGATTGAGTGGTTGTTAAATATTAGACATGTTTTTAAATTAAACAATCAATGAAAGATATTTTGAATTCTTTGAAGATGAGAACTTTTCTGGATATGACGCAATACCCCCGAGGAATCGCCTATATGCGACTTGAAGACTCTATACTAGTATGCCGAAACAACAACAAGATAGCTAACGACCTTACAATGAAGGCATGTAATCCATTGAGAAAATATCCAATCCGTGGGCCAAAGTCAAGTAAACCACGAGAGAAAGATGTAGCTGAAAATATGTTTGGCTATCCTTTCCGAGTCTGTGTGAATGTTAACGATGACTGCATCGTATCTGATTTTGCTCATCGATCAATCACGGTTTTGGACCCCTCTGGAAGAATCCGCTTTACCTTCAAGTCATCCAAAGACTTTCCCATTCGAAACCGTCATTCCGTTTGTTGTGATCTGAAAGGAAACATTTATATATTTTCAAAAGGTACACCGAACATCTGTGTATTGGAACCGGGTGGCAATATCAAAGATTTACTTTCTTGTCAAGATCTCATTAATGAGTCCGTCTTTGCCTCTGTCTTTGATTCTGACGATTATTTATGGGTGGCTTGCATGGATGGATTCATCAAAATTTTTCGAAAAGATTTAAACCAGCAAAATCATAATTAATTTTAGTATTCTGGTATTCCAGAATATTCTTTCTATAATCCACATATATCATTGATTTGAATCTCTTGGTTTGTTATTTCATGTTCATTCGAGAATTTTAATTCATGTTGGTACGCGACAGGTTGCGAGCAGAAGGATGCAAATTTAGGTATGTGCTCGACACTTTTGGCCATTAAGCAGTGATGGTTCCTTTTCGTGCCAGCATCTTCTGCGACACGGACCTAGGTTTATAGGGTCTCCGAAGATCGGTCTCCAAATTTTAGATCTGAAATAAATCTTAATATTGAATTTATAAACATTATATATTCAGAAACTTTCAGATCCCTTTAAAATACAGAGAGAAATAAAGAAAGATTAAAAATACAAACATGGATTATTTGAGAGGGATTACTGCTTATATATAAACGTCATTATAAACAGGTTCGCTATTTTGTTTGTTCCACGCAGTGAAAATGCCGGTGAACTTGCCTTTTTTCTTTTAAATTTTGGAATTAGAGGAATGCATAGGAAATTCAATAAAAAGTAAATTAAATCAACAATTCAAATCTGCAAACAATCCAAAAACTAAAAAAATGAATGCAGGTTTTATATTATACAAAATTACATTTAGAAGTCTAAATGTCGTCTTACTGATTCATTCTTGCAAAATATAATTTCTAGGTTACATACATGTGTGCGTATATATTACTCTCTGTAAAAAAAGAATACTCAATAGAAGATTTTAAGGTGTTTTTAACTGTGCTGATACGCAGCAAAGATGCATGATTTACTGTCCTTTGGTAGCCACACTTTATTGTCGAGTCCAAGAATGACATTGTCACGGTTCTTATAGTATCAGTTTTATATATGTACATGTACTCTCGGTAACTGCATTAAAGAGAATGGTTTTGTAATTCTCTGCATTTATATATCTGTAAATAAATCATAGATATATTGTTTACAATGTTTACTGGAATGTAAATATAGATATATTAAACTGTGTTCGTTCCTACGGATATGAACTCCCTTTAATTTCGATTTTTCTGAAGTCTGTAAGTTTATTTAGGTCATGAGAACTTCTTGTGTGTGTGTGTGTGTGTGTGTGTGTGAAGGTACATGTCAAAAGTTAGATGCTATAAGCTGCCTCAATTACTATTTAATGACTCGGTCGTCACGGCAGCAGTTTCTTTTATTGCTTTGTACAACCATTGACAGTGATTGATTTTACATTAAGTATAATATAGTTTCTGCTCAGTCCCACAGGAATTATTTTTATAGAATTTCTGCTACATTTAAGGTATTTTTTCACAATCTGAAAAAAAAAATGTGTTTAAACATGGGTTAAATGCTACTTTATATACCATATTTTTGTAACATTGTGATTGTGGCAAATTAATAAAAATATTCATGTGTAATGCGTGATTTACTGCATCAGAGTAGAATATTAATTATAACCATGAGATTTTATTTATATTTTGTTCGATATGACCACTCTTTCCTTTTGTTCTGAAGCATTGAGTTTCGAGTTTCATCCTCTGTCTCAAATCCTCATAAGATTATTGAGACTTGAAAAGCAGTAGCAAATCAATCGTAATAGTGTTTATTATTTTATTTTTTCAACTATTCTGTACCTTATTTTCCAATGATCATCAAACTCTTTTGTATATTTTGATTTCCATTTTTTTTTCGTTTATTTAGGAAAAAAAAAAAAACATTGCTTCAATTTCGAATTTAAGTCAGAATAATGGATGATCAGTAGAATTATTTTAATATCTTTCATACAAGTATAGAAATGTTCTTATAGTACAATATTGTGAAGATTATTTGTGAAGTTTTCCAAAAATGCCGTTGCATATGTAATGGGTATGAAAAGTATCGGACTATATCCCCCAATATGTCCTTAATATTCCAAAATGAAGATCATATATCCCCGATCTTGGAATTTGGTTTGGGAGTTTAAGATATTTGGATATACTGAGTATTTCCTATCTTGTAATTTGGTTTAGGAGTTTTTGAAATCAGTTGTTTCTCCAGGAGGAAATAAACAGAGAAAATAAAAAATAATACGCTGATGTGAATACTCTCATAGACCCGGAAAGCATCCGTTTGTACTCATTCAAACGGGAAAAGAAATTCAGTTATACAGTCTTTGAATTTAATTTCTCTTATCCATTGCTGTTTCAGAGTATTTAATATAGTTTCGATTTTCGCTCAAATATGTTCAAATGTCTGTCAAACATATGGCATATCTTTGACCAAAATCCCCCTTTTTTGCTATGTGTTTAGAGGTGTTGTGAACTGTAGAGTTAAAAACCGAGTGCTATTCCGAGGATCATGAATCAGTCTTAACGTTTTTAGGTCACCTGAGTCACTCAGGTGACCTATTGCTATCCGTTATTGTCCGTCGGCGTGCGTCGTGCGATGTGCGTTAACATTTGAACATTTTTAGCTTCTTCTCTGAAACCGCTCAACCAATTTCAACCAAATTTGGCATATAGCATCTAGGGTGAAGGGGAACAAAAATTGTGAATTTCATGGTCCCTGCCCCCCTGGGGCCTGAGGGATGGGGCTAAAACCACCAAAATTATTGCAATCTTTAAAAATCTTCTTCTTTACTCCTGGACATCAAGCAGTCAAACTGTTGGCATCATTGTAATAAGCATTGAGTCCTCTACCAAAATTGTGAAATTCATGGCCCCAGGGTCAGGGGTTCTGGTGCTAGGGCGGGGCTCTATAGATCATATAGTGAAAGTGCATTATTTCTTTGAAAATCTTCTTCTCTGGTCCTGGGTATTAAATGAACTAACTAAGTATATAGTTATGATGAGTAAGAGTGCCTCTTCCAAAATTGTGAAATTCATGGCCCCTGGGTCTGGGGTTCTGGTGTTAGGGTGGGGCTCTATTGATTATATAGTGAAAATGCATTAATTCATTGAAAATCTTCTTCTCTGCTCCTGGGTATTAAATTCAGTAACTAAGTACATAGTTATGATGAGCAAGAGTGCCTCTTCCAAAATTGTGAATTTCATGGCCCCAGGGGCAGGGGTTCTGGTGTAAGGGCGGGGCTCTATTGATTATATATTGAAAATGCATTAATTCATTAAAAATCTTCTTCTCTGCTCCTGGGTATTAGATAAACTAACTAAGTACATAGTTATGATGAGCAAGAGTGCCTCTTCCAAAATTGTGAATTTCATGGCCCCTGGGTCCGGTGTTCTGGTGTTAGGGTGGGGCTCTATTGATTATATAGTGAAAATGCATTAATTCTTCGAAAATCTTCTTCTCTACTCCTGGGTATTATTGAAACACATTAAATACATAGTTATGATAATCAAGGATGCCTCTTCCAAAATTGTGAAATTCGTGGCCCCTGGATCAGGGGTTCCGGTGTTAGGGCGGGGCTCTATTGATTATAAAGTGAAAATGTTTTAATTCTTTGAAAATCTTCTTCTCTGTCCCTGGGTATTGTTTAAACAGACTAACTACATTGTTATGATATGCAAGGATGCCTCTTCCAAAATTGTGAATTTTATGACCCCAGGTTTAAGGGTTCTGGTGAGGGGGGGGGGGGGCTTCTATTGATTATAAAGTGAAAAAGCAAAATTTCTTTGAAAATATTCTTTTCTGCTTCTGGTTAAAAAAGCAAAGAAGCTAAGTGTATAGTTATGATGAGCAAGAGTGCTTCTTTCAGAGTAGTGAATTTCATGACCCCTGGGTCAGATGTGCTGGTGTGAGGGAGGGGCTCTTGATAATATAGTGAAAATGCATTAATTCTATTAAATAATCCTGTTTGCTCCTTAGTGTTAAGCAGATAAACAAAGTTATAAGTTATGATGAGCAAATTCATGGTCCCAGGGTCAGAAGCTCTGGTGTTTTTTTATCACTGTAAATAATGTACTTGAAAGGTAAATAGAATAAGAGAATTATGCAAAAACTTTTATTGTATAATACAAAAAGTACTTTCATTGTTTTAATGATTAGATAGACTTGTAAGTAGTAGATAAATAAAAATGAGACAAAAATAACTTGTCTTATTAAATGTTCATCAAAGACCAAGAGAGGCCAATGTAAGAGATTTCAACAAGGGATTAAAATAGTACAGAAGCATTGATAATTTGTTAATATACTGTATGGTGATAGTGATAAATGGGGAACAGATTAGAACCTAATTTATGAACTGTTAATGAATATTAAGACCAATTATTTTGTTGATCATGATCACCCTATTTTTTTTCTTTTGGGCAACAAAGTTTCACCTTTCAGTTCATTTTATACTCTATGAATCCTTTAAATTATTGTATCATACTCAGGTGACCGTTAAGGCCCTTGGGCCTCTTGTTTTTTATACTTATTATTTTTAATATAAAAAATACATTAAATTTGAAACTTCGTTTAAAAATGTTTCCTGTTTAGATTCTTAATTTCAATTTTGTCAGTTTTTAGTAAATATTCATGTTAATGAATAAATGAAATTTTGACTTAAGGAGTTTGCATCCTGATTCCGAAAGTCTTCAGAATTTTTTGTCAAGTATATTTTAAGTATCTATACATATAGCTCAATTAAAAATCAAAACAAAAATGGGGGTCAATACGCTTCTTTTGGTGCTACAGTACATTTAATATGACCCTTCTGCACTAAAACTGTTTCTTAAACATAAATCATTTCTTCGAAGATTTTCTTAAAATGTTTTTTTATCCAAATAAATCAATGGGACCAAATATACTTAATCCATCTTGAAAAGACACATTAAAAACTGTGACAAAAAAGTTTAAAATTACTTTGCATAATCAATTATTTGACCTTTCTGCACTCACAAATCAAAAGTGGGGGGTCTATAATGTAAATTTTTAGATATCTCTGAAAAAAAGTTAATTTTAAGTTAAAATTGGCCCTATTTTTTTCCTGGAATATATTTGCTAAATTTGTCATAATATGATGATATAATTCATAAAATTTGATTTAATAAAGATTTCAGGACCGGCATAAAACATTTCACTGCACGAAATAACTCTGTGTGCAGCCTGCATGAAAAAAATGGAATTCCAAACTTAACAGTACTGTAAATACTTCGAAAGAGGAAAATTGATCATTTTCTTCTAAAAAAGCCTTGCGCCACAAATTATAGTTCCTCACTTAATGCTTTTTGTATGAAATTTAATCGTGGGTTTTGCATTGAATATAGCTTATCTAGCATTGTAGAATCCAAATTTAATGTAA